TCTTCTTCTTCTTCTTGGATCAACTGTACAATCTCCACCCTCAACTCCCCCTTAAGTGACGTACCGTACCGTAGATTGCCCTCCCACAGCATTTATTAATTCTGAAAAATAATCTTTGTAGAATATGCATTGCTTACAAACGCGCAAATAAAATTAGATTTTGCATTGTTTATGCGGGAGTGCATTTGTGTGCTGTTAATTACACAAATCAATGTTAAATTCAATTTTCTATTTTACTGTGGTTAATTTTGAACGAATCATGGCTATATTCAAAGTTAGCTTTTAAAAAGTTCACATTTTATCCCCCGAAAAGATTTGGGGGACGAAAAGAGTCAAAAGCTCTTGAATAGGTATCTTAAAACAGTAGGGATAACCATCGAAGAAGCGGATGAAAATTGCTTGGAATTAAATCAGTCATTTTTGCATGTTGATGACTCTACGAGTTTTCGCCTCATCTACCACGCAATACATCAAAACTCACTTCGCGAGAAAGCATGGAAAAAACCAGATTACAGGCAATTGCGAAAAGTTTATGGTTGACCGACAAAATTTGGAGGGTTAAGTCGAATGGTTATGAAAAACAGACAACTAAGTTGTTTTGAAAAGAAACGTTTCTATCGGTGTTTTAAAACTGTTAACGTTATAAATAATTATTGTGGAAAATTGGTATAAAAGACCAATCATTATGCTGTCTATGCGATGAAGAGTTTGAAAATTTATATCATCTTTTTGGCTTATTCAAGAACACTACATATCAACTGAATTCGAATGGTGGAATTCCAGCATATTCACGCCGATTACAGAAACAAAAGCAGAAGTTGCTGTTCAAATAGTTGCAGGATCATTGGGATGAAGAAAAGCAAAAATTGTGTATTGGTTCATGAGACAGTACCGAAGTACAACAGTGCCGAAAAAGGCGGGAAAATTTCAGAATAATTTAAACGCATTTTCTAAAGAGCGAGAAATTACTGACGCTAATTATCAAAGAAAATCACTCCAATTTCGGCGCCAAAAATGTCTGCAACTGCAAATTAAACAATTATTTTGGCGCCAAAACGTCTAAGTTCCAAATTTTCTCTCCCAAAATATTAAGTGCTACTTAAGATTGTAAACGTTCGCCGTTTAATTTTTGATTGCCGAACTTAATATGTGAAAAATTGATCATATTTTCGGCACTGTTGAACTAAATTTTTTTTTCGGCAGTGTTGTACGGTGACGTCCCATTTGTACCAACGGTCATTTGTACCAAAATGAAAAATCGGTCCCATTTGTACCAAAATTATTCAACTCGATTTCTGATTGGTCGAATTTTGAGCCAACGACTTATTACGTTAATTTTCTACTGTTCAACCAGAAGAAAACTAAACAGCAGAATAGTGACCGCCGCAGTCGCGCCAACGTGTTGCGAGCTTGCCAACAGAGAATAGGACTCTATACGAAAATTAGAGCCGGTTATCGCCGCAAAGCGGCAACGCGCGCGTAGCGCGCCCACCGGCGACCTTAAACCAAGAGCTTAAAGTAGTCGGCTTAATAGCCTTAGGCCAATTGATTATTTTTGGTACTAACGCGATTGATTTTTTATTTTGGTACAAATGGGACTGATTTATCATTTTGGTACTTGTGAATACCCACCTGTTGTGGTGAATTCCCATAGGTTCCAATATTCATAGGTTCCAAAATGAAAAATCAGTCGCATAAGTTCCAAAATTTATCTTCTTGAATTCTGATTGGTTGAAATTTGAGCCAACGAATTTATGGATAGATTGTTTACTGTTCAACCAGCATAAACTCAAGCTGCAGAATAGTGACCGCCGCAGCCGCGCCAACGTGTTGCGAGCTTGCCACCAAAGGGTAGGACTCTATACGAAATTTAGAGCCGGTTATCGCCGCGAAGCGGCGACGCGCGCGTAGCGCGCCCACCGGCGACCTTAAACCGAGACTCGGCTAATTTAGTCTTTTGACCAATTGGAAAGATTTGGAACTTATGCGACTGCTTTTTTATTTTGGAACCTATGGGACTGATTTTTCATTTTGGAACCTATGAATACGCACCCCTGTTGTACTTCGGCACTGTTGTACTGCCCCCTATCAACTTCAATTACATGCCGACTCACTTGCATGTATTTTCAGATATTTAATGGGGACCGCTTCAGTATAATTGAAGACTGCGGTCAGCCTCGATATTGGCTTTGAATTGAGTACTCTCAGTGCTGAAAAGATTCTTAAATCATGGCAGACTCTGATTTTTACCGCTGCTTCCTATGTGACACAAATCAGAAAAACGAGCAAGATTTCTTGGCGCATCTCAAATCAATGGATCACGTGGAATGTCTCGTAAAGCGCAATTTGCTGTCGGCCGAACACTTCGAGATATTAGTGCGAATTCATCATTTTAGTTTTCTCGACAACCCGACGTCGGAATATTCCAATCATAATCCTTTAGTTGCATCCTTGTACGAAGACAGGACTAATGAATCTTTGCCTTCGCTTAACGACTCAGCCGTATCAGTTACTCCCAAGCGAAAGTCGAAGAAAAAATCAGATGTTTCTGCTGCAGGATCTGGAGATGCTGCGTATACAAGTCGAAAAGGTGCACAGCAAGCCTCTCAAGTCAAGTCGAAAAGTGCCCAGGGAAAAGCCTCTGAGCCCGGGAAAAAAGAGAAGCCCCCTAGTTTCCATTGTAATTTATGTGGCATGTCAGTGATTGGAAAGTCCAGTTTGATACAGCACCAAAACGGCAAACGTCACATGGCAAACGTGAAAAGTGGCGACGATGAGTCTCCAATGAACAGATTCAGATGTAACACTTGCATGGCAACGTTTGAGTTTGCTAATATACTTATCTCTCATGTCGGGAAATGTAAAATTGCAGTAAATTTGAATGGCGATTCTTAATAACTGGCTGGCTTATTTACACTTGCGATTAGCAAGCTATAATAAATCGGAACATGGATTTTTTTCAGGTTACAACTTGGTTAAATAGGTCAATTAAATCATTTGTTCAACTATGAGATTTCGTCAAAAACATTTTTTGAGCATTTCTGCATTTCAGATACATTTTCTATTAGGTTTTATTGTTTGTTGTTCTTACCGATTTGGTCTTTCATTTTTTTTATTTTTCCCTCGCTTTGTTCCGTATGAAAGGTTTCGGCTTATAATTAATCAGCTCTTTCCACTCGTATGGTGTTTTCCTCGTATTGCGTGGTAAAGGCTTTGATGGCAAAAATGACTCTTATGCGTATGTCCTCAGTATAGTAGTTTTTGATGGTTTTATGTACAAGAATTTTTCTGCCCGAAAATGTAATGTCAGCTTAATTACCCCTGCGCAAGTTTGATCATCTCTGCTATTTCAGCTGCTATTACTTTTATGCTAAACCTTATTTTTAAGATATGCTATGTTTCATTTGATATGTTCGTTTATATTTATTTTTATTTTTGATATCAACATTTGAAGGGTATATTTGAACTGCATATTTTTATTGAAATTGTGCTCCAAACGATTTTGATTGCACTCCAAACAAATCATATTTCATTCCATGACAGCGAAAAAAAAATCTGTGTTGACGCGAGCTAGCTTAAGTACTGATTCAAATTATCTGGAAAAACAATAAAAGTTTTAAATTTTAAAAGTTTTTCACAAATTGGGTTGATTTTTTAGATAGAAAGGATGAGACAAAATTTGCGAGGAGTTTTAGCCGATTTCAAATGGATCAATTTATTCTGCAAAAATCGGGCCCCAATTGTGATACGCATGGTACACATGAGTATCACATGGACAATTCTTACAAATCTAAGTGACACCCTAGCGGTCGTTAACCCCATGATTGGTGCCGTCCTATTTAGAAAATATGGAATAACTTATAAGGATTTAAAGAAAATATTTAAAAGTATGGAATTTGAAAGAAATTGAAATAAGTGTTTTTCTACTTGCTAAATTAAAACCAGAAAGCAAGGGTGTTCGGACGAGTTATTGAATAGCAGTCTTCTCTAATTTCATTCAAATTGCTTGAATAGTTTTGATAAAGGTAACAGCGTATAATATTTTATTGATAAACTATTAGTGACTTAGTGATTGGCTAATTAGAATATATCTTTTTACTCAAATAAAATATCATAAATAAACTTTATTTGGAAATTTTGGGTATTAATTGTGTCAATCAAGTGTCAGTAAAAGGTTGCCCGACGTTTTATTAAAGAAATTTTTCAACAGTTCTATCGGAACTGAATGAAATCGGGCATGCTCGGCAAATGGTATATCAATTGTAAATTAATTTGAACGTCAATCGATGCAAGGATTTTTAAAAGGCTTTGGTTTAGTTTTTTTAGTTGTTCTAAAATTAAGTTAGGTTTTTCGCACATGCGACAGTTCTATAGAAGGGAAAGGGCTACCAAGAAATATTAGATAAAATTTAATTTTGAATACTTGTTTTTTTTTCGAAAAGGCGATTTCTCCATTCCTTTTTTAATTTGCGAGAGCAAGTGTCTTGTAATCAGGAACTTAACTTCCCCTAAACAATTTTTCGTACATGCGACATCGCTCGGGTTCGAGTCGCGTTTGGACCTTGTTTTCGTGAATCTCTACCCTTGCGATGAGCAAGGTTGTTGCAATCGGGTACTATTGTCCACAGGATGACTGAAATTTGTTCATCTCCAAATTTAACTCTATTTCTACTCAAAATGCGCGTCTAACAGCTGTAATTTAAATCTGGATTGAACGACTCAAGTGATAATTGTTTTACAGCTGAAAAAGATTTTAGCTGTAAGTTGATTTTTTGTCGGCATTATTGATTTCGACCCAACTTTTGTCGGCTTTTTTGCCGGGTAATTAATTCTGTAATTTTTTGATAGATTTTTTGGTACTTTCATGAAGGTAAATAGAGTTCATGTTTTCCTGGTTGTTATAGGCGCCAAAATTTTCTCCTAGAGTTTTTCTGCTAGAATTTTTTTTTCGGATGCATGGTTTCTGATCTTGTTTGTCCTAAAATTACCTGAAACTAGTTTTAGTTATAAGTAGTCAGGTGTGTTATAGGTTCAAGCTATTTTTTTTTTAATTCAATTCAAGTTAATGGTTTTTAACGTCTAATTTCAATTTTTAAAAAAATGTCAAATTTCCAGAATTTTTTTGCAAATTTGACTGGACTTTTTCTGTCTTCAAGGGAATGTGGCGGCAAGTTCTGCACAATAAACGACGTTACTCATTTTTGACGTAATGGTTTTTGATTATTTTCACGAATGTTATTAGCAAGCGTAACCTCATCGAATTTTAGATTTTTCCATGTTTACAATTTGCCTAGTGGCATCACTCAATCAAAATCCCTAAACTGTACTTCAATCAACTAAACTACTCACTTTCTTTTTCTTGATTAAAAATTTATCAACTCGGATTTTGTTTGTATTTTTTTCTACTTATTCGGTTCAAAAATTGTCGGCTGATATTATATCGGCTTGGTGGCTTCATTTTTGTGTATATTGATAAGCAAGAAAAATATTCTTAGGTGTGTGTGTTTTGAGCGGGGATGTTCTACAAAAAGAGTTTTCAAAGAAAATTGTTTTGCTATGTTAACTTTTCGCAAGTTTTCTTCCGGTGCTAATTTAACATTCAACTATTTTCCTTGGCATGGGTTTCTCAAAATGAAATTCAATCAAGGCAAATCTAGAAAATTTTTGGAACAAATTGGTAGATTTTGTTGCTTTGCTCTTTTTGTGTTGTATCGCTAATGATGTGAAGCTCCGCTTCGCCTCTGTTTTAAGTTTATTGGTAAAAAAAGAAGGTAAATTAACTATTTACCTGATCATAATTTACACAATAACGAAATGCAAATATTGAGAAAAACGTGATTTACTTTAAGCTTGAAAATGGATTTTTTTTCTAGCCGAATAAAAGAATTATCTGTCGACCCAATTTTCTCAAATTGGCTGTTTTATCAAAAAGGTCACAAATACTTATTCCATGAAACTTATTAAGGCTATCTTTGGCTATGTTTAGAATTCGGTTTTTTATGTATACAAATATGGAGGTTATTTGCAATCGATCTTCCAAAATTTGTAACTTGTAATGATTAACAGTCAGGCACAGTCCAAAACTGTGTTTTAAAATCGTTTTAAAACAAGGTTTTTTTTTGGCTGTGTGTCTAAAAGATAAAAGGTGGTAAAATCTCGCAACAACTGAGCCGCTACACTATTGGTTATTTTGACCGGAAGATGTAGGGTTTGATGTGATTGTTTTGTATCTAATGTAATGGGGTCAAAATTGACCCATTCCGAAACCAAGAACGCCATCGTGGGTTTTTGAAAATCGACACGAAGTCCGATTGATTTCCACATCTAGAAGGGTCTTGAAAGACTAATTATTCTTCGATTTTAATCGTTTGACATTAGCAGTACGTTCAGATATCAGTTTCTTTTCAATGTTATTTGATTGACTTTTAAAAATCATGAAGAATTGTTAATATCTTAATTTTTTTGCTTGACGCTCAGAAAAAAATATTCAACGGTTTTTCATAGTTTTCTTTTCGATTGTACTTGGAGTCAGCTTCATTAGCTACTTCGGTGTTTGTTGATTAAATTTCATTTTGTGCGACTGTAGTCTTTGCTTGAAGTCACAAACCAAGCAGTATTTTATTGTTTATTTACTAGTCTTATATATTTTTTTGGTTAGACGTAGGTATTCAGTTTTTGAAAATATTATAATTGTTGACGTGTCAGTTAATTCTGATATTGGTTTTAGAGGCGAGCTTATTTTTGGTTAAATAGTTTATATCGTCAAATTCCATATTAGTGAATTTTTCATAGCTTCGATTTTCGTACTCTATAAAGCAACGCTCTTGCTGTTTTATATTTTCAACTTCTCTGCCGAATTTAGTGCTTGGCTATCAATTGCAACGCCTTTTGAAAGCCTTCCTGCAGGCTTCACATGATCTATACTTTACAAATAGTGTACCAAGATTCAGTAATTATTAACTCAGTGCTCTAAATGGCGCATACTCATCACAACAGAGGGTTCCTCAACTGTCATGTTTGTGACGAGGAACAGCGAAACAGAGAGCGACTCGCGGCGTTCCACAGATATGTAGATTACATCAGAAATGTCCAGTTGCTGGCCCAGATGAGTCTAATGAACCCTGGATACCTCCGATTGCCTGCCCCAGTAACAGTTGCGCCTAGCAGTAATAATTCGGTCAATTTTGTGAATGTGTCTACCTTAAGAGACAATCAGTCTTCTAAAGATGAGCATCAACAGAGAAGTAAGCGAATGTTTGTTTCGTGGCGCAAAATTTTATATCTTCTTCGGAAAAAGCTGCAGTTTTACATTTCACAATGAGCCTTTCCTTTTATGTTCAATTTGCGATAGAAATAGCAGGGGTGATGAGTCTAGGGTGTTTTTGATGGGGGGCTTAAACAGTTTTTGTCGATTTTCAATTTGACCACATTCCAGCCCTCCTGGAATACTAAAAAGACTTCATATTGTCAAAATTATCTATGTCTCGTGCGAATTCTTAAATGACTTTTTTTGGCTCTTTCTGAGAGGTCTTGATCAAAACCTCGTTATATGATGTTTTTTGGTAGCTAACGAAAGGGAACACATGATTGCTTCGCGTCTGTTTTTAAATCGGTCGGACTGGTGATTTTAGATGGAAAAAGTGTTCTTACCCTAACGGAATTGGTGAATCTGGAAAAGTTTGCAGCTAGCAGTAGCAAAACACCTCTTCATCAGTTTCGATGTCTGCTGTGCAATGCTGAAATGTCACTGTTTGAACAATTGATTAATCATTCGCGCGGACACATCAACGAAATGTGGAAATTTAAACCTGAAGAATACTATTTCAAGTTTTTATGTAATTTCTGTTATGGTGTGTTTTTCAACATCGGAATAATGAAAAAGCATATAAATAACGACTGTATGAAGAATCGAAAGGAGAAAATAGATGAAAGGTTTACTCTGAGATGTGCGTTGTGTAATTTATACGAATCAAGTCCAGGGCAGTTTAAAGGTCACGTGAAATCAAAACCCCATGTTGAAGCTATTAAGAAAGAGAAGACAGCCACAACTGGTCCGATCAAATTATTTCACTGCACTTTATGCGGTGTACACTGCTGTGATATGAACCAATTGAGACTGCACGTAGAAACTGCAGCACATCAAGCAAAGTTCAAAATAGGCCATTTTAATTTTTAACACCAAGAAAGGCCAATTGAAATAAATGCGATATGTAAAATAAATGTATCTTTTTAAATATTGACTGCTTTTTGTATAAAGTGTAGTTTTTGTACGTACGATGACACTTATAGATCAACTTTTCCTAAAAATTTCAGCTTCTTCAATTATATCGTTTAAGATAAAGGGGTCGTTTTTTCTGTTATACGGCCCAAAGTTGTCAATTTGTTCATAGAGCGTTTTTTTTACTCTTTAGCTGTAAGTAATTTCCACCAAAATTTGAAAAATTTCAGTTTTGGGCCCTAAAACAGAAAAGACTCGAATATAGTTTACATCAGAAGCGCACACTTGAGCAGGAAGTTGTAGATTTTTGCTTTTATGCCATTTAGTAGAGCACTGAAGTAACGCTAAATTATCTTTTGTTAATAGAGTTCACTTTTTTCAATTAATTCGCACGTTTGTAATTAAGGATTCTGGTACCAGTTTTTCAGCATATCGGTTTTTTAGCATACGACATACGATTTAAATACAGTTCTTTGAGCAGATTTGGGTTGACAGCTTAGTGGATAAACCAATCAACTGATTGACCGAAAAAAAGTAAGTTTTATAGTGTTGACCTGCCCTAATTTCAAAAAATCATCTCCAGCTTTGTCAGCAAAACAATGTAGAGTCACGGGACACAGAAGTTGCAACTTTTTGAATTGATCGAGCGAATGAACGGTTTTTTTTCCACGTTTTCGTTAGTTTCTCTGCATCTATCAAAGTTATTGGCTTGAAATTTTGACATATAGTAGAAACCTTTTAGATGTTTGTCGATATTCATAGTTTCAAGTTGTTTTAGAATTTCAATTTTGGCCTTCAATTTAGAGCATAAGTTTGAATTATCTTTGCAGTGAAAGCGAACGACTGTTTTTAAAAATTGAATTTGTCTGGTTAGGCTAATATTCCCCTCTGGAACAAAAGTTTTCCCCTACAGAAACAAAACTTTTTCAGAAATAGCAAATTTGAAACTTGTATTTTCGTCAAATCCATTAATAAGAATTGAAATTGCATTTTCCACTCCTGTGTTTGAGAATAGTTGCAACCGTCATATTGTTTCTGATGAGAAAAAATAGATGAAATCATTAAAAAATGTGACTAGCAACCGTGTATGGTGGACGAAGATTATGCACTGTTAATTTTTCAGAAATTGGCATCCTGCGCATGCAAGTTTTTGTTGATTTCCTCGCCAAGTTTCACATTTACTATGAAAAGTCCCGCAAAAAAAGGTAAACGCTAAAATAAGCAGAAGGAAAGCGGCGCCACCAAAAATTATTGGTCCTTTTCATCTATTAACTTATTGATGTCAATTTTTGTCCTAGATAGTGGACAAGGGGAAATTTTAATTTAAGGATTGTAGTATCGTCACTGTTCGTACTTTTTTGTTCCGACCATTTGGACAATGGGGAGGAACTTAATCAGTTGTGTTTTAGTTTTTCTTTTTTTTGTTTTCGCGAAAAACCAGGCACCACAAAAAGTCATCGGGAAGTGTCGAGTGATTTATCATATTGACGCCCTTTCAGCCGTGATTCAAAATTTTTTTCAGTGTCGAGAAAAACTTGCTTGAAATTTTTGGTCTAATTTCGATCGAATAAGGTGAGCGAGCAGGCTTAAAATAGAGCTGAAAATAACTTATTTATGCTTAATCAAAGCCGTTAAAACTTAGTTGTTTTTGAGTAAAGTTAGTTTTTTGAGCCATCTTGTTGGTAATCAAAAATTTAAATTTAATTTTCAAATTTTGAGTTTTTTTTTTTATTTTTACGATTTTTTTTCAATTTCTTTTCGTTTTGTTTTCAGTATTAAGTTTGAATAAAGTTTTTTAAGTTGTTCACTTTCAATTTTGCTGAAAAGAAGGCAAATCACATTTTTCAATAACAAAAGTGTAGAGGTCACGAAAAGCGTGAAAGACTTCGGTTCAAAAATGGATTTTTATTTTCAGAAATCCCAGCTTTATTAAAAAATTAATGCAATTATCTCAAATTGATTAGTTTTATTTTAAAAAGTATCAAACACTTAAATTTCAAGGAATTGAAAGGGGTTGAAGGCTGTATATTTTCTTTTTTTTGTCGAAAGTTGAAATTTTTTCATAAAAGACACTTTTCGAACCGTCTGTCGTCTATTTTTCAGCTTTTTTCACGTGTTAGTTATGTTCCTTAATGCCGAAGTTTTTAAAAAAAACATGGCAGCATAAGATCTGAAGAGTGGTTAGAAGTTGACCAAAGCTTTCCAATAAGATTAACAGCTTCCTGTCAAACAATGCCTCTGACTTACTCAATCTCTAAAAAGCAAAAATATCGTTCCGTTTTTCTCCATTGCAGTCCAATTCACGATTTGAATGGTTTTAATTTCATATAGTTTTTCATGCGATTTGATTTTTATTTGTAGCACCCGGATTTGCATTGATTTAGCCGGATCCGAAGTTGCTTCTCAGCTTCGTTGGTCGCAGTAATCGAAGGTCTTTGAACCCAAGTATTTTTTCTTCCTGGGGAATTTCAGTTGAAGTATGCTAAGACAAGGATTCAATAAACATTTTTTCATTCTCTTTCAGATGGTGTGATATTATGCGGTGCAGGCATCATATGACAGATAATTTTGATTGCAGAAACTAAGAAAACGAAATATGGACGCCTATTCGGATATAGAAATGGACGTTGATTCTGAAATAGAAGAGGTTGAGGCGAGTGAAATAGACTCAGATTCCTGCGATGACGATGATTATGTTGAAAAGTCTGATTCCGAAAACGGAGACAGTTTTCAGATGACACCAGGAAATGGCGAAGTTCTCGGTTCAACGCGAGATCGTCAACACGAAGATGAGAGCTGTGAAGATATCGACCACGCTGAAGTTCATGGACGTGTAAAGTTCATCGATTTACCAGAAGGGTCTCGTCGCAAGGGTCGGCAGAGGTCAAAAATTGACATCATGAGTGGAATCGATCCTGAAGATGATTCTTCTGGATCCGACTGCAGCTATTATGCATCTTCTGTCAAAAAGGTTAAACTGGACTTCAAAAATCAATGTGAGCCCAGAGCAAGCTCTTCGTCGTCAGAAGCTTCTGATATGGTTACAATGGAGAAACTGAGAAAGGAATTGAAATCAGTTATTGAGAAGTTTTCTAATGGTTCCGGAGATTACGCGACAGGTGGATTATTAAGTGTTCTTGATGTTCCGAACATGCCGATGATAAATATTCTAGGTTATGGAATTTTACCATTACCGATGACTAAAATTGTTTGCGAAAGCGTGAGAAAGTACTGCAAAGATTCTCCGTACGGATTGGGCGAAGAGACGTTGATTGATAAAAAGGTGAGAAAAAGTATTCAAATTGACCCGAAATACTTTTCGATTGATAGTAGTGAGTTCGCTTCCAAGGTTGATCAGCTTATTCAATCGAAAGTTAAAAAAGATTTGGGTTTGGACGATAAAGAAATTTATGGCGTTCTGTACAAGTTGCTTATTTATGAACAGGGTGGCAAGTTTGACGAGCATAAAGATACGGAAAAACATGACAATATGTTCGGTACTTTAATTATACAGTTGCCTTCCATTTTCAGTGGCGGAGATCTTGTAGTGAAACATAATAAACAGGAGAAAGTGTTCAAAAACAGTCTAGAAGGTAGTAATTCACAATGCGTTTTTGTTGCTCATTTTGCTAGTTGTCCGCACGCTTTACAAACAATCACTTCGGGTTATAGAGTCGCGTTAGTTTATTCACTGTGCTGGAATGGTCTCGGAAAAGCGCCTGCACCCTGCACTATCAATTCTAGTACGCAAGATCTTTGTGTGAAATTGAACCGATACATGGATATACCTGGTGCTTCGTACCTAGTTTGGGCTCTTGATTTTGAATATTCAGACGCGTCTATTTCGAAAAAATCTGAGGACATCGTCCAATTTTTCAAAGGCAATGATCGAAGTGTTTTAACTGGAGTTAAAGCCGCGTTGGAGTGTGATCGAAAAGAAAGTGGTCATGTTAGATATAAATTTTATGTGGCGACTGCTAATTTTAAAATCAAGGATTCGGGAGAATGCGGGTTCGGGGAGGGTGGATGGGGTTCCGGCTGGCACATGTCTTGTAATGGTAAATGTCGATTCGAGGTCTGCGAAACTATCAAAACTAGAGTGAGCTTGAATGAACTCAAATCCCTTACTGAAAATACTGATCCTGCTCGAAACTTAAAAATTCCTCTGACTGCGAAAAACTTGATTAATTATGAATCAAAGACAGGCAAAAATACGGGTGATAGTGGCTTCAACGAAAAGGGAAAAGATGGGTTTTGGATGGCCAAAGATTTCGGATCCGGGTGTTCTGGTCCAAGTGGCAATGAAGGAGCAACTCGCGATAAATGGTACAAGAAGAGAGTTCTCGTTTTGTGGAGGGAAGACCACGACTTCTCAATAACTTGTAAGTCGGATTTTTCAAGTGTAGTTAGAAGAATACAAAATTTGATCCAAAACGAGAAGATTGAAGAAGCAAAGCGTTTGGTGAAAGATGCTATGAGTTCAGGCCTAACACTAAACGAAAGTGAATCGATTAGCCTTTTGGACGTCTGCAACCATCTGGAAAGCAAGGAGCTGATCTTATATTTGTTAAAATTGTTAGTGCAAGTCGGAATAAGTTCTACCAGAACTGCGAGTGTTTTAGCGGCAACTGTGAGTTCATTCCCCGAAGAAGAGGTCAAGCACTATTTCCATTGTTTCATAAAAAATTGTGGAAATGCAAGAGACTTCGATAACCTTTTCAATTGTCTGCAAAATATCAAAAAAGGCTTCACGCATGAAGAAATAATGATGATGATTGACTCGTTCTTTTCGCAATTATTATTACAACTCGTATGCATCAAGGCAGTATTCAAGTTCAAATGACCCGATCACCCTTATTTTGAGTTATATGAATGAAAAGCAAGTTTTTCCTGAAGAGCAAGTAAACGTCCTTATTAGCAGTATTTCGGATGTGTCTAGACTTTTATCATTACTTTCTACCGTAGCTAAAAATAACTCAGTTTTGCAGAAGAAAATTTGCGACCGGATCGGATTTTTGGTGAAAGAAGGGCATCCAGATCACCTTGAAAGATATATAGATTCGAGTTTGAAATTAATTGAAACCATGGAAAACAATAAGAACTTTGGCACCGCGAATCGCTTATTAGAGTCAATTATAAATTACCGGCCACTGAATCAAACGGTAGTTAAATGGATTGCGAAATATGTTGTGACGAAGAAG